GTCAGCGAGCCTGACCACCCGGTCCCGTTATTCGCTTTCACGTCAATTAGTCGCCTTTTACGGCAAGCATGGGTTGCTGAAAATGACGACTATGCATGTCGTAAGAGGCGACTAACGGGATCGGGTGGTCAGGCTCGCTGACTTGGTTGATGCATGTCATCGTGTCCCATGCTTGTACGCTTGTCAAGCAGCTGCAACTAAACTGCCTGCATATGAAAGTATACACCCATGTTTGACGGTGGCTAAAACTGTAACAAACACGACATGGACATTCGGTGTTGATGTATTTGATACGGGTGTCATTGTTGTGTGTCGAACCTTAAGTTTGCAGTGTCTCGGTGACTGTGGTTTGTAATTGTTTGGTCAGATCCAATTTTCAAGCGCATACTTTCTTTTGCCTGGCAGCGTATAAACTAGTATTTATCATATTGGAAAATATACACATACAGTAAACTACGGTTATAACGAACACGCTTATAACGAACTGACCGATATAACGAACTTATTTTTGAGTCCGGGCCATTTGTTGTATATATGCTGTATATATGCTTATTACGAACTACGGTTATAACGAGCTAAATTGAGTTCGTTATAACCGTAGTTTACTGTATTAGGATCCACTGATCGTTGGTTCGAATCCCAAATTCGCTCCGATTATGATCCTTGGTATGGCATCACAATAGCCATGTTGTTTGGTTTCACTAAAAGTTAACGTCTTCGGCCAAAGGAATTTCCTCCTTTATCAACCGGTGTTTACCCAACTCACTCACCGACACTGTAAATATCAAAATACATCTACTCAAATGCGTAAACTTGACCACAGTGCCATTGACACAGTTGACTGACGTCGCAGAGCTTCAGAAGATTGTGAGCTACGGTCCAGCAAATTGACGCTACTAACCACTGTTTGAAATTCGCGCTGTGCCAGCAGCTAGGCGTTTACCGAGACAAAGTTAATACTGCTCTTCAATTGCAGGTTTTCGTCACTGTGTTTGATTCACAAACATGTAAAATAGGTCGACAGCAGCATGGACAAACGATGCTCGTAATTATTCTGATGGCTTGTTCCGGCCGTCCATTACTGGACATCGCTGACCGACTTTCAACGTAATTTCATTGGTCAGTACAGTTTGAACGTAAAAGAAAGAACTTGTTTATGAGTATTTTAATGAAATATTATTTAAATAATTCGTTAATTATAGGACCATCTCTGTGGTCTAGCAGTAGAGCGTCTGTCTGGAGGGCCGAAGGGGGTTGGGGTGTGTGTGTGTGTGTATGTGTGTGTGTGTGTGTGTGTGTGTGTGGGGGGGGGGGGGGGGGGGGGGGGGGGTCGATGCCCGGTCGCGTCATACCATAAGACATCAGAGGATGGTAATTGTTACCCTGTCTGGCGCTCGGCATTAACGAGCTAAAATAAGGATTGGTCGGCTCTGAGTCCGTACACTGTGTCTGAGTGTGATATTCATATTAAACTGCGGCATGATATCTCAGTGGGCTAGCACTATAAACTCGGCATTAGTTCGGACTAACACAAGCAGTATATTCGATGAGTGTGGCGTAAATCAACATTCACTCACCCACTCAGTAATTGATCAATGATAGAACGTCTAGGCAGACTGGAACATATATCTGACAGGAACAATGATTCATTCACAAATAATGTTACAACGCAAATGCACAAATGACGTTTTTTTTATGTATTTTCAACCTAAATAGGAACTTTAAGCTGTTTCGTTGGCTAGGGCCAGGTGAACGAAATGATTTAATTTGCCAATGTAGCATCGTCAGTCGTTAACCGCTTTTAAAAGAATACGGTAACGTATTTTTTGTTGGGGGAGATGCATTTGGACCTTGGACCCTGGTCACCTATTTTACCGGTCATTCCACACTAATGGTGACTTGACGACAATCACATGATGCCCTTGTCATATCAAATCGTGTTTGTAAGCTGAGCGACATACAGGCAACGTTTAATAAGATAGTGTCACACGAACACGTTATTATTGCTTTGTCGGATCTTGTTCCCTTCTCAGTTTATCATATTCTCACCTTTAGTCACGTTAAACCTGCCCCGTTCGTCGCGGGTCACCAATTTAGAACCCGGACGCTAAAAAGTCACATGTTAGAGCTCGTGCTCAGATTACGACTTGTTATGGGGAAGGGATTATCGGGCACTTCTCTCAATGCGTGAATCAAGTTTTTCGTAAAAGGAGGGGGTGCATTTCGAAATCTAAAGTTAACAGTGTCCGATGAATGCAAATAATTTGCGAAACAATTTTTGTTTCGTAGAAGTGTTTATTGTGTTGAAAATGTCATCAAATGGGTTGGATTTAAATGCAAATAAACGTCGTAAAAATGTTTTACAATTAGTACTCACGGTAAAGGCACTCGTCATAATTTTGAGTTTTGATGTTTTTAAGGTAAATTTTAAACAGGTTTTATTTATACTATTTGTATTTTTTATATTGATAGCGATAGTAAATTATGTTCAATTTTTGTTTGGAGTCGGATGATTCATAAACCATATTTATTTTAAAGTTTGGCCTTGGTAAATTACGTTTTCTCCAGGAGAGTTTTTGAATTTTTTAATCTGATTAAATTATTCGAATACACAACTGAAATAAGTGAGTGAATGAATGCTTTTTCAGCGCAATCAATAGTGTTACGGTGTTCCGGTATATGACAATATCAAAACACCGCCTGTTATAACAATACCCTGTGCAATCGACCATGTCATCATATGATGCCTGAAGATTATTGCAGTCACGGCTGAGTTGTCTACCCGTATGCTAGCCCATCCGGGCACTGATCATGTCTAGCAGCCATAATGTTTCCCATTCCTCCGCTTGCCACAAGTACACACTACTGAAACTTTCTGTCCTGGATTTCAACCGCGAAGATGATTTAAATACAAGTTGAAGAAATTTGATAAAACTTTAAGCAGAACTTCTGCAAATTATTAAATTATGATTATTAAAATAGTACAATGTAATTGAGTTTACGATTATGCTAAGACTTTACCATCAGCATCAAAATAGCCGTAGGTGAGGTGATATGGGGTTCAACGTCGCGTTCCAACACCAAAACAGAAAAATACACCACTGCTCTAGATTATAATAGGCATAATATTAGATCAATAATGTTGATGATGATGATAATAACGAAAATAATACTGACAATAAAAACAATAAATGATAAGATATAATGTATGATACGAATAACAATACTACCAATAATGGTAGGGATGATGATGATGATGATGATGAGGAGGATGATGAGGAGGAGGAGGATGAGGGTTATATGTTAAATGGTGTAGCCTCAGTGTAAGAAAATGTGGAGGTGTTTTAGACAACATTCTCAGAATATTTTTTTTTACAAAACCACTGAATCACTAAAGCTGTACAATGAACGGTGTATCCCCTATCAAACCTGCCACAAGGGATAATACCATGGAGGTGAAACTGGATTCGGCGCAGAGAGCGCGCCAACAGTGTAGAAATAATCCATGCATCGTCTAGGAGTTCAGGCACAGCCGGCCAATAGTGAAGTGTAGCAAGTAGCCTTTAGTGAGCGTGTCAAATCACACGTGTCGCACAATAACATCATGAAATTTGATACAAATGTTCACTTTTCTCCAGCTTCTTTTTCGGTTAAAAAGAATAGTGGAAAGAATGTGTGTTGTGACCCGTCTTGGCCATAGTTGCTCTGCTGTTGGAAGTGTGTATTTTTATATAATGTTAATATTATTAATACACTGCTGATGAATGATTGTGTTTATACGAATCAGTCATACGTAAACGTACTGTCGCATTTAGAATTCAGTTCATGGAGAATGCGTCACTCATAGGAGTGTTGACCCCGCCCTTTTAAAGGTTAAATTGAGAAGTTCAAAATTTTAACTTTGGAGCTTACACTTTAAGTTCTAGTTGTTTTTTAAAACAAACATCATAAGATTTGTTACAAGTTCGCATAGGAATGTTTCTTCTTCGTTAACACGTCACACGGGAAGTTGAAATACATGTCCCAGGGTTCATGCGTTTTGTTCATAAGCGGGACTAAATACAACGTTGTTTTAAGTCTTGAAAACCAATCACATCAAATTGTTATGTAATACAACAACCTTATCAGTTCCGAAAGATGTGACTTGTGATTAGTACCGCACATGACATATCAACACACCGTTCGGCGGATGAAAAACGATTTCTAATTCTATTTCAAAGTCAGCCACAAAATGATTTTATAGCCATCCTTTCAATATCGCAAATGTGTATGTAAGTTATCACTACATATAACCACCAGATATAAGATGTCCTTTTAGGGCAATAACGAATACGCATAATAACAAGGGATATGAATGAAGCCACGCCCACCTCCTTATTTGTCATTTCAGTGAGTACCTTGACTTGCGATTGTTTCAACAACTGATATTTCTACTCCTACAAAAACTTTTAATATTCTTTTTCTTTCATGCTATGTTAATTAGAACATGAACTTTGAACGAGTCCCGAAAATAGAATTATCAAGGGTCTGTGACCTTTTAGTGAGGAATATAGCTTATCCTAAATATTATGCCTGGCAAATTTAAGACTGTTCCTCATGTGCACGTCGCATGTGCCTGCAGGTGATATAACATGGTTTCAGAACATGCAGCATAGTTTCAGTGTGTAAATGGTTGTCTCCGGGACAAATGATACATCATTATAAACCTCGTTTGTTCATGCAGCACTGATCCTTTCTGAAGCTGTGATGACTTCGAAGCAAATAGTTTACGAGCGCGTATTTGCTGTTTCGACGTCTACGCGTTGAACCATCAGTTAAGAGAATATTTGAAACGAATGAAAAACAGCAGAAATTTTTCAACCTAATATATATCGTTCGTCAATCTACGTCGCGCTATACATACAACATAAGAAATTAAGCCCACATATATATTTCAACAACAATCGTAAAACTACCATTGCTTATAGCTACAGTGCGGGAAAGTATGTGTAAACACCTACCTATAAGGTCTTGATCATCGTACTCCAGAAATTCTCAAAACGGGAGATCGTCTGTTCAGCAAACAGCTTCCACCCCAGCAGACGACAGTTCCAGAAAGACTGGGATCTTTTCTAACCAGCCCAAGTGTCGTCTGCTCAGCCTGTGACGTCACACGGTGATAAACTGGAGGAGATATTATACCTGTCGCTCGTTAGATTCTTAAGTCGCTCCTTTGACATATGAGAGTGGTTAGCATACGCTTTTACACCCTCCATAATTTATAAAGCTGGTCGCACGTGAGTGCTTTCATAGCTGCCGGCACTTAATTGGTTGAGGGCCATTTGACATATCTTCTCAATTAACGGGTATATAGAATCCACCTTTGTAAAATCATCTTTTTACCACAAATCTTGTCATTTGGATACTGACGACGCGCAATAACGGGGTATGTATTTACGAAAACGTGTGTTTAATTTCGGTTGGCTTGTAGTCGGCATGGTATATTAACACCTTGTCCTTACATTGTTCAATTGTCAGACGACACGTTTCATAAACAATTCAGCTTGTGTATTTTTGTTAATAAACTATCATAATGCACAGGTATTTGCATATGAAGTGTCACATAGTCACCAAATTATCAGCTGCCAGATCCATTTGAATACTGATAAAAAATACAATTAATATTCGGGAAGGAAGCTCAAACAACAGGGCAGTGTTTTTTCAATCCCATCAATCACTTACATGATGAAGATGCTGGCAATGATAGTGATGAAACTATAGTGTCAGTATGCCACGTTCGACAGAATACGTTAATAATGAATGTCTTTGGTAGTGTACAGTTCGGTGAGGTATCACTCGATAGCCTTAGGGAGTAATTGTGTAAATGCTCTTACATGAGTAATTGTGTTAATCTGTTTCTTGACTAATTCTGTTACGACTTTTACATTGGTAATTGTGTTAGGATTGTTAAAGACACGACGGTGAGCTTAAGTCCATTGTCAAAATGCGTCTCAATACACAGAAGTGAGTGCATTGTATGTGCATCGTCAGCAGTTTTGATTCAAGGGACCAAGAACGCATATATACTTCTAAAAAGTGTTAAGGACGGACCGATTCTTTCATATTACTATAGTCCATCTGTCATGCCACCCGATTCTTTCTTGAAACTGTAGACAATATGTCGTTCCATGACAGATTATAGATTTAGTGATATGAAAGAATCGGGTAGTCCTTAAGATTTTAGCAGTACATAATGGTCTTAAAGAAACGTGCCAGTCTGTGCAATAGAATGTGTCAACTGTGGCACTGAAAGGTAGAAAGGTATAAACCGAAGACTTTTTAGATTTCAGCAATAGTCGAGGTGTCCATGTCAACCTAACTACGATAATGATAGATATCGATGGGGTTTTTTTATCCCATGGTGCATAGCGTAATGGCGTTGTTGTCGTGTAGTTGGTTGCTTCATCAGGGATGATGATGTGCCTTGTTATCTATTATTACCATGTTAACATTCCTGACAATCAACACTTGCACAGTTGTTTAGTGTAACCGATGACCCAGGTGACGTTTTGATAAGCCACAATAAGAACTAACCATGTCATGCTGCTGCTGCTGCTGGTGGTGGTGGTGATGATGATGATGATGATGATGATGAAGATGATGATGAAGATGATGATGATGATAATTAAAATGATAAATAATTGAAATCAACAGTTGTACAGTACAATATAACTCACATTCAAAAGGAGTAGCGTGGTGGTAGTAGTCGTAGTGGTAGTTGACGTAGTGTTAGGAAGTTGAAAGCACTCTACAGATACAGCTCTAGCTCTACAAGACACATATACTCACAGAACGACACATGCAACCAAGTCTCATGTGTCTTGCATAGTCCTTGTTACAAAACTGTTACACAATTTCCCACAACGTGTCTGACTGGGCTGACGCGTCGCCACTGAAATGTACACCAATACTGAACAGAAAACAATCTTCCAACAAACAAAACGCTCACAAAATAGTAGAATCACAAAGCTTCTCCCTGCATTGACGTCATGCATTGCGCTTGTGTAGCGCGTCCTTGAATGAACATCCTGTATCACAGAGGACAGCAAAGAGTATCGCATGTTAGGTTTAGAAGCTGTTATGTGGATCACTAAATATAATTCAATCGGGAAAATAATGTCACCATTTATGTGAACATATTTCAGCGTGTGTATGACGTGTTTGACTAATGAAGTGACCAAATGCAAAAATATGTCTTAGCATAGTTCTGAATGGTTGTTGCTATGCAACATCAGAACCAATGAAACCGGATATAACTTACTACTTGAATTGTGTGTAAGTAAGGATAAGAATTTATGGATGAACAACTTCTTTATTAAAATTAAGAGCGACGTTTCGGTGTAGGTTCTAACACCTTTATCAAGCAAGTGACTAAATGCCTATCAAAGAAGTTGAATTGTGTGGTTTAACATATGTTTCCGGATTTACAAAAAATACTTGATTAATTAGGTTGTTTGTTTGTTGTTTAAAGCCGCACACGGCAATATTCTAGCTATATGATAGCGGTCTGTAAATAATCGAATCACAATCCAGTGATCGATATTGTGAGTAACGATCCACGCCATCGGGTATGAGGGCCTGTTATCAACCAGGTCAGGTTACAAAAGCAGGTCATAGGTTGTTGGGTACCAATTCAAACCACCTTGTTGTTTAATTAGTAATTTCCCTCTAATCATATAATTATACATATAAGAATATCACCATCAACCATTAATGGGGGGAGCTGAGATTTTTGTGAGAGACAGGACAATCGGCCAATGAAGCCCTATCTGTACTTGTCCGGATCAGCTCCTGAAGAGCTAAATGCCCATGAATGGCGGTGTGTACAAACACTACTCAAGATTTAAGATACTCTAGGTAAGATCGCGATTCCAAATTATTGCACATGCGTGACAGTTTAGGAAAGCTTGACATTTTTATTTGAGTCCCATCGGGACATGAGAAGTGAGGCTCCTATATTATAGTGTGTGTGCCCTGAGAACAACACTCCTTGTTATCTGAAGTCAATTGAACTACGAATATATAGTTTGGTGTCGCTTAGTGTCCATGCAGTAGTGCAATGAACATTCAAGTACATTGTGTTCTGAGTAGGTCCTGGATTTTCTCCTTTGGGATTTCGGGTTAGAGTAAGTCACTAGCATCCTTTGGTGGTCGTAATTGGCGACTTACTAGATCGGTTGGTCAGTCTCGGGGACTTGCTTGATAGCGTGTCATCCTAGAGTGGATCGTTGCTCAATCACCGGATTGTCTGTCCCAGGCTCGGTTATTTAAAGGCTGCCGCCATACAGTGACTGCAGCTCAGATATTGCCGAGTGCCCTGATATAGATGTTTAGGATTTCATCATGACGTATAACTGGATTGGTCTATATTTTATTTCAAAGTATAGCCGTGTTCGATTGTATATTTCTCATGTAATTAATCGCCTTATCTGTGAGGCCCAGTTGTCTAAGGCGCCGCAATTCGCTATGCAGAGTTGCGTCCCTTGGGTATGCCAGAAACCTATGATCCTGGGTTCGAGTCACGGTCTGCCCCGATTATGTTTCTAGGTTTGGGAGCACCATAGCCGTGCTCGTAGGTTTCAACAAACTGGTAAACGTCTGAGACCTGCATCATCTTTCCTCCAACATTAAGCTTATTAAGCCTTGATATAACTGGAATACTGTTCAAAGCGGCGATAAACCCAACTCAATCACTCTGTGGGAAGTGAGTAGGATACTGAATGCAGAGGGTCAATTACCCATTCATTAAATGGCATTAATAGAATAAATAAGAACATTTCTTCTTTATTATTTTTATTTGTGTTTTTCTGGGAGGGGAACATCACATGAAATGAAGCTTGTTGCCCGGTATATTACGCGATGGTAAACCAAACAAACCAAACAAACAGATTCATGATGTCTTCCTTGTCTAATATCACCACGCAAAAACACATTCCTAGCAACCATGTGTGGTGACATCTATGGCAAACATCATCACGTGTGGCCACCAACTTCACATGGTCATTCCTTAGAATCAACTGACCATCATACTTGGTCATCTGTGCAGGTCATTGCGAGCAACTGCACATTTGCTATCAGCAGCAAGGACATTGGTCATTTCGTAACATAGTACGGTCAACGGGATTTCTGGCGAGTAAATCCTCGCGTTTAGATAATAGATTTCGCCATAGTCCTAGAGAACACTCACTTTCAGTGCAATAAGGAGATTCCCTATTCGTGTTGTGTTATGCGGGGTCGCAGTGCCAACCCGACATAGAATCACGTCCCCTCTGTCAAACGCGGCGACACAATCCCCTTTGACCTTCCACCAACATGACCTTGACGTTAACAGGACACGTGGCACAGCGACACGAATTACCTCGACAAGAAAGATCTTTCCTGTCTCCAAAATTAGAATCGTGTTTCCGAAAATAGGAGCCATAAAAATCAAGCAGTGCTTGACACACTGCGGCACATAAAACTGAATTGGAAGAATGTTTAATGATAGGGTACAGTAAATCACCTACTACAGTATACAGAAAGTGCAATCCAAACCAAAGCTACAACGTAATTCCTTTAGAGACATGTTTACACGTGTTCACACCTGTATTCGGATCCACACAATCTCGAATGTCTCGATCTATCTTTTGCATGAAAGGTGCGAGAAGAGATTTACTGTGCACGTTGAGATGAGATGTGAAAGTTTATTATGTCGAGTAAAGGTTATGAAAGATGGACACGCCCATCAAAGATAAACCCCTCAAATTTTTTACTCACAACAATACACAAATAGAACAGTGAAACATTGTTAAATCGAACCCTATTATCTCGAGACTTCATATAGCTTAAGGGGGCACGGGTGGCCCAGTCGTCTAAGGCGCCGCGATCCGCTGTGCAGAGTTGCGTCCCTTGGGCACGCCAGAAACCTATGATTGTGGGTTCGAATCCCGGTTCGCCCCAATTATGTTTCTAGGTTTGTCAGCACCATACCCGTGCTCGTGGGTTTCACCGAAATGGTAAACGTCCGAGACCTGAATTTCTTCGGGCTTTCCTCCCACAATAAGCTGACACGCCGTGATATAACTGTAATACTGTTAAAAGCGACGTTAAACACAACTCACTCACTCATATAGCTTAATGCCATAAAAGTTACGTGCCCGTTGGAATCCGTATTGGAACTGTCTTACATCGGTACTCCGCTTGTTTCGAACTACATATACAGACTGTAATTTTTAACATCTCCAGCACTTCGAGTAAAGCGATCTAACTTTCAGTGTATTTTCACAGTAAAATTGATCGTTATCCTACATACTGCCCCGCAATCGTTGTCAGGAGGGAGGGGGTGTGGGTAAGGGTGACCCAGTGATGTTAGGCGCCTCAATTCACTGTGCTGAATTGCGTCCCTTGGGAGTGTCAGGAACCTATGATTTTGGATTAAAGTCCCAGATTCGCCCTACTTATATTTCTAGGTTTTTAGTTCATAATTGATAAACCAGCATCACTTCAGGTTTTTCTAACGCATGAAGCTTATATGCCATCTTATAACTGAAATGCTTTTCAAAGCGGTTCATTCAAACTCACTCACACCATATGTTGGTTGAATGCTTTGGGAACTAGGGAAAACATTTGTAATAAACAACTGTCGATGACATTCAGTATTGTTTTACGGTCGCATTTATTTATATTCAAGCCCTACTGGACAACAAAGACGGGCTTCACAATCTAAACAAGTCCGGGCTAAAGAGTGAGTGAGTGAGTGAATGAGTAAACGCCGCTTTTAACAGTATTCCAGTTATATCGCGGCGTGATGTGGGAGGAAAACCCGAAGTGATGCAGGTCTTAGACGTTTACCACTTTGGTGAAACCCACGAGCACGGGCATGGTGCTGACAAACCTAGAAACATAATAGAGGCGAACCGGGATTAGAACCCACAATCATAGGGTCCTGGCGTGCCCAAGGGACGCAACTCTGCACAGCGAATCGCGGAGCCTTAGACGACTGGGCCACCAGCACGTAAACACTCACTCACTCACTTTATTGCAAAAGCATGTAGGCTGCGTGATCCAAGAGACCTGTTGACATCACGTGTTTCAAAATATGAAAAACAATTTTGGTCCTTATAAAGTTTTATCCCGTTAAATTGTAATCATGATTGACTTTCATTATGTTTTGTGATGAGCATTCTATACACCGATGATTTCAAGGCCAGGAAACAAAATGCAGTCAGCAGTTTTTCAAACGTATAATTTGATTGCAGCTACGAAAAACATCGCTATGAACTGCACACGTTTCATCATTCGTCAGCCACTGGTCGCTAACAAAGCTGCAGTTCACACCTTCATAACGTTTTACTGAAGTCCTATGTGTAACAACAGCGATGACATTTTTATGATCCCTTGTTCCCAAACCATGTGCAGACAAAATATATTTGTATATAAATATACTTTTCAATATTTCGTGTATTCCATTTAAACAAAAGCGAGGACATTTTTATGATCCCTTGTTCCAAAACCATGTGCAGAACAAAGATATTCGTATATAAATATACTTTTTAATATTTCGTGTATTCCATTTAAACAATAGCGAGGGCATTTTTTATGATCCTCTGTTCCCAAACCATGTGCAGAAAAAAGACATTCGTATATAAACATACTTTTTAATATTTCGTGTATTCCATTTAAACAATAGCGATGACATTTTTATGATCCCTTGTTCCCAAACCATGTGCAGAAAAAAGACATTCGTATATAAATATACTTTTTAATATTTCGTGTATTCCATTTAAACAATAGCGATGACATTTTTTATGATCCCCTGTTCCCAAACCATGTGCAGAAAAAAGATA